ACCTTGGTATCATCGGCTGAGGCCGACAACTGCTAACATCTTCTCCTGGAAGATATAATGACAACATGGCAGCCAAACAGTTGGCACCGTGGTCATTCAGCCAGTAGCGCCAGGATTGACAGTTCGACCAAAGAGCGCCATCTGCTGACGATCCGCTTCGGTAAAATCGTTAGAGCCGATGCTAGACATCGAAGGATCAGGTATTCTTGTATAGCGAGGCCCCCTGAAATAATTAGGGTGATCCTCATCTGAAGGGGCTCGCACCCAGATCCATTGGCCCCGCCAATGTTTGTCTGATGTATCATTCAGATAGGTGGTCAGATAACCCTTCTCATCTTCTATCTGCCACCAACCGTTGTCGTGCCATTTGCTTGATTGGGTGTTCAATGCTAGTTTATGCGTGCACCGAAAGCAATGGACGCTTGGCTCCAGCCCATATAAAAGGCATACCCACAGATAAGTCATGACCCTCTTGATGCTAACAGGGGTCAGCTGAGCTAGAGAGATGTTGTACCCGTTCAACACTTTGATGACAAACGGATAAATGGGAAATCGCAGCCCATTCTGCAGCTGCCGAACATAAACCCCGATATAACCAGGAGGGGCTCGGTAGATCCTATCTAACTCTATGGGCATTCGGCACCAATAACCATCGGCTTCCATAATGCCGTAATAAACTTCCAGTTGCTCGGCAAATTGATACCGAGCATCATTTTCCAGCCACCAAGAGGATGGCTCAGTCATCAACAAGCCTGAGTTCTCAGACTCATTAGTCCACTCCTGCTCTTCAGGAGTCAAAGGTCTGGGTCTCGAGATGACCCTTCGGCCCGAAGTACTGGCTTCGGCTGTCTCAACTGGAGGGGCACTATTTAAAGGAACAACCCTAAATCCTTCACCACTCGAGGAAGCGGCGACCTCAATTCTGGCATTGGGGTTACGCCCGCTCAAAAACGACATCATCGCCAAAGGACGATTACACCTCAAAAAAACTGCGACGCTTTTCTACCGAGGCACTCGCCTCAGATTCTATTGGTCTCTTTCCGGGATTGCCGGCCATTGCGAAGTCGGCGGCGACGTGAAAAGGACGATAAAAGGGGGAAAAGTTTAAAAAGGGAAAATCCGAATGAAATTCGGAGAAAATTACCTCTATCAGACTCGGAATTCGCCGATCTAGTAGTTCGGAGCAACGAATTGTGCGGAAAAGCTTCGGAAAATGCAGATTTTAAATTCGTGAAAAAGAAAAGTTGTGTTTGCGCGAGCTTGCTGGGAAGTGAGAGCAAAATACGAATGTGGGTTGATTTGTGAATGCCGGAAATAGTTGTGCAAAAACAAGTTAAATATCCGGTAAAAAACCCTCACTCACTTAATTTCAATGCACAACTCTTCAAATTCTTCCCAGGCCAATTGCAAACCGCCAAAATTAATTATCCACTAAATTCTTTCCACTTCCCCACTATCGTTAATTAACCGTCATTAAGGTTAATTAATCATTATTAACGGTTACTAAACCGTACAAATTCCTCAAAACAAAAATTTAAATTATTTTCATTTACTTCCCTCCAAATCTCTCAGCAGCTGAAACCCGGCCCGTTATCCTCACGAATCGAGTCTAGGGGGCAAGTTGTTTGGGGTCCAAATAACTTATATTTGGGCCCAGTCCACAAATGAAAATAAACAAAGCCCAATAGGCAAGGTTCAACCCTCAAACTTTCAAGCCAAGTCAGGTAAAGCAAGGCCCAGTCAAATGGCATCCCATTTGGCTCCTCAAGCCCATTCCACTCAATTGGAACAAGGTATAAAAGCTCACATTCTTGCATAATTACATTCATGCACACAAATTGCCTCAAGCAACAAATACTCTTGCATAGCTATTCTCTCTTGGTCTTACACTCGTATTGAATTCGGCATCGGAGGGGCCTTCCTCGGCACAACCCCCGAGACCAGTTTACGTTTGTTCAGCTGTGCAGGAAACCCTCAATTCGGTCATCACTCGAATTGAGCTTCATCTCCACTCATCCGAAGGACCTGTTGAAGGTCCATTGTTTTTAGACTGAAACATATTTTATGTTAGTAAATAAAAGAAAACATGTCCATGTCTAACTTATAAATTATCAACAATAAGGAACTCAATTATATTAAAACAAATCTAAAGTTATGGAAGAATAATTTCCTACAATAAACATTTATAAAAAGTCTTAGTCAACGTAACATAAAAAAAATGTATAAACTAAGTACCATTTCTCTCAAAAAAACTAAGTATCATTTTGAGAACTATAATTTTTTATGTGTATACAATTACTTATTCAATTAATTTTATATTCACTTGTATGTGGATGGAGTTTCATTACCATGATATTGAACATGAGTAACACATTTACCCACTTGTAGATATCGTGCTCTCTGAATCTAACCCGCGAGGATTTGAGTATTTGACCTGGGGTGTTACAGGTGTAATAGTACTAAATAAAAACAAAATCCAATTTATTTAAGTGGAGAAGAAAACATAGCTAATGAATATTTGAAATGGTTAGATGCAATGTCTAATTCTTATTTTATTTCTAAATAGTAAAAAAAAAAAAATTGTCTGTGTTAACAGTACATTTATAACTGTCCCAAATAATATGATATATGTTACTACTGTTTTAGGGTAAGATCACACGTGACACATATACTAATAATCGTTTTTTTAATTCATTTTTTATACCAATTAGTATACTTACCATTGATATAAGGTATCATGGGTTGCTACTCACCCATTTGTCATAAATATTGCCAACTAACTAAATATCTGTGTTGGAACAAACCATTTTAGCACATATTGGCATATCAATACAGACAAATAAAAGCTATAAAACCACCTGATAAGTGGCCCTAAATTGCGTGGGAAAAAGACTGTACTTGAGCTTTTTGTTCCGTTGTCTTCTTCGGACACCCTACCATTAAAGGGAATCACTTCCAACAGATGGACAATTATTTGGGATGTTTTAGGGTTTTCATTTCATGTCAATTCATAGTTTTTAGCTACTCCATTATATTGTTAAATCCTATTCATGATCCATACTCTTACGTTTTAAGTTTTAGTTTTATACTCAAATTAATTATATACGTATGCATCTTAATCAACATGTAAAATTGTTTTTGCGAAAATGGATTGAAATTAATATTGAGGATTAATAGCACATTGAACAAATTGATTAATGTGCTATATTTGAAACATGTGGATTAATCTACACATAAGAAACTTACAAATTTATAAAGTACGTTTTTATTTTGTACAAAATTTATCATAAATTGTAGGATAATATTATGATTAAATGACTTCCCTACTGAACAATATTGCGGTAGACCGTTGGGGTTGAAGTTTAACACAACAACGTGTGAACTGTACGTGTCTGAATCTAGTGTTGGATTAGTTAAGATTGATCGAAAGGGTGGTGTTGCTACTTCGATAGTAACTAGTGCTGAAGGAGTTCCATTTCGTTTTCTAAATGCTTTGGATATATATCCGGGTCAAATTTAAAACTATGGTTTTTATCGAAGTGAAAGTTGAAACCAAAGTGAGTCGTGCATTATGCACGAGATTTATCCAATTTGTAAAGAACCAAAATCTTGATTTGACATGTCAAATTAAATGAAGGGAGTGTTAAAAATAGGTGTACTAAAAATATATTTTTTTATCAATGTTTTTGTAAAATATGAAGCATATTACTTCTAAAATATTAATATAAAACTTTATCCTGGCCTTTTCCTATTATTAACAATAATCAAGATAATTTAGAGAAAAAAAAACAATTGTGTGTTATTTAATTTTTAGGAAAGTCATAATACAAATTAGTAGGTGAGTTTATTTTATTGTGAGACGACTCACGCAAAATATAAAATTCAAAAACTGATATATATTGATCTAATAACTTATGTAGAATTTTCAAAAACTAACCTAAAATGTCTAAAAACTTTTAAGTACCTAATTTTCTTGAGAGATTGTTATATACTCTCGGGTGCACTGTACACTCAACTAACCCAATGTTATTATTTTTCTCTTCATTAGATGATTAAATGAAAAACAATCATCAAAATGAGGACAAAATATTTATGGATGTATGGTACACACAGGTATATATAACAAATTCTAAAATTTCTTTTTTCAAATATTGAGATGCGTAAAACTTATATAAAAAGTCCAATAATATATATTATATCTCTCACCATTAGCTAGTCTTCATATACTACAATCTCAAAAGTAAGTTATAAGTACATAATTTAAAAAATAAATACAAACGTGGTGGAGCGAGTGTGGGGCGGGTATGGCGGCCTAACATCCATCCCGCCTCATCACCCGTGAAGGATATGATATTTAACCCATCCGTCCACCGCCTGCCAAACCTAATTCCATCCCCACCTCCTATTTGATCCCCTTACTGACATTGCTTATTAGAGGCTCAAAATAATTTAACTAATTAGCTGTTTTAAAAATAATGTAACAAGTTATCTTGAAATTATAATAGTAATCTAATTTAGTCGATACATATTTAGAGGAAATACTCATATATTCAATACAACATTTTGTGTCATATCTCATATTCACCGTTTGTGACTCTCTATACACGAAAAACAAGTCTATCATGCAACTTATTAGTAAATAACACGAAATGCAGTGTGGAATATGATGGATCTAGACACAGGAAAAAAATATAATCATATTCTTAAAATGTGTATCTTAAATTGTTCCATATTCAACCCATACCATTTTAGATACAACGAATTTATTTTGAGAGAAATTAATTTAAGATAATATTATTCAAGTCAATAAACAACGACGGCGATCAAATTATTGGATTAATTAGACTCAAATAAACTCTCAAACTATTCCTTTGACTCTCATATATACAAAATAAACAATATCACACCCTTTCTGAACAATTGCACAAGTCAAGCCATACAGACCAAAAATGTTTCCTCTATATAAAGGGTACCAATTGCCGCTAAGAAAATGCAAGAAACCAATCCGCAATATAAAATTTAGCTAAAACAGGCTTCTTAGCCACTTATACTAGTTTTAACGACCCAACACCACATTTCTAGCTTAAACAAGCTTGCATAATGAGCAATCTTTCATTTTTCTTTGTCTTTTGTTTCTTAGCCACTTTGTCCCATGCCATAGAGCTCGACTTCTGTGTCGGGGATCCTAGTCTTCCTAGAGGACCTCAAGGATATGCTTGTAAAGATCCTGCTAAAGTCACAACTGATGATTTTGTTTACACTGGTTTTCGCGGTGAAAAAACTCCTAACAATGTTTTTGGGAACAATGTAACATTAGCATTTTCAGATGTGTTCCCAGCCTTTAATGGTTTAGGCATATCTATGGCTAGGTTAGATTTTTCCATAGGAGGAGTAGTTCCTGTACACTCTCATCGTACGTCCGAAGTTCTTATTTTGGTTAAAGGTTCAATCATTGCAGGATTTATTGATACAAACAACACCGCATACTATAAAAGATTAGAGGTTGGTGATGTGATGGTATTTCCACAAGCCATGCTTCACTTCCAAATCAACGTTGGTAAAACTCCGGCTACTGCCTATGTTAGTTTGAATGGTGCAAACCCTGCATTACAACTCACTCCCACCTCTTTATTTGCTGGGAATTTACCTGCTGACATTGCCCAGAAAATCACACTCTTGAGTCGTAAGGAAGTTATGCAGATGAAGCGAATATTCGGCACAGCTTAACAATACTCCTTTCCTAAATTATTATATTAATTTCCCAAAATATAAATGAAATATTGTAATAAAAGAGTATAATTAAATTATGTCTATTGTATTCCTTCAGCTTTTTTGTACTAATAAATAATTCTGTAATATATACAGATGTAATATCCTCCCTTTTCTTTGATGGTCATCACTTCGATCTTAGGACAATATTTCCTCCATATGTACATTTTTAGATGATATTTTTTTATATTGACATTATATATTCACAAATTATCTTTTAACCGTATTTTGTGATTTATACATAATTTAAAAGTATAGTCGATGTCATCATGTGGCCTGGGATGTAACACCCCCATATATATGTTTCCTAAGAAAAGCCATAATACAAAATATACTAGAGAAATAAAGAAACTTAGGGCAATCATGATCACATGATTACTTAACACTTTCCAAAATAGACTTGTACCAAAACAAAATACTTACATAACTTTTATTAATATTAATTAGTTTTGTCAGAAACTATATAATAAAATCAAAATTTTGCGAGCAATTGGCTAATAAAAAAAATGTTGTAAAAAACTACTAAATAATAAAAGGTAAAATATTGTAATATACTATCTTTAGGCCGATTTTCCACCGTTGACATGAATTGTGGCATTGACCCATCTCAAAACATCCCCAAAATCACCGCGGGGGTTGGTTTTCAATGTGGTATGGTTATTTTAGGGGTGGTTGAAGGATATTTCAAGTTGGTGATGAGGGTAGTTTCGTTCTTTGGGATGGTGCTTTTTAGGGTTAGAGGTGGTGATTTTGGGGTTGGAGGGTGGTTTCGGCGTGGTGGCGGAGGTAATTTCAAGCAAGTTGTGTTGTTTTTGGGGATAAAACGGTGGTTTAGGGGGTGTTTTGAGGTTTGTCAATGGTGGAAATCTGGCAGAGATAGTATTTTACAATATTAATTTTACCTTTAATAGGTAGTTTCGTACAATATTTAACCTTTTATTAGGTAGTTTTTTACAATATTCTTTTAGGAAAATTTGTTAAAAACCATCTTATAAAAGTCAGATTTTGTTAAAAACCATCTTATAAAATTTTATTTGTCAAAACACACATATTTTAATTTTTTTTAAAGCCCCACCACTCCTCAAATTCCGACCTTTGATTGTATTTCTCGGCATTGACTTGGGAAGTTTGATTATGCTTGGGAAGTTTTAACTGTTACGAAAGTATATGCAGATTTTTTTTAACCGTTTTGTAAATTATAAAGAGAACTACAAGGAGATATTGCAAGCAATTGTCATTTAACAGACCACATGCATCAACACCTTTAATTTGGTTGGACCTACATACATACCTCTCTTGTTTTGAGAGAAAATTGAAAGAATCCCCACAGGCTCATATCCTAAATTTTTTATCGTTAACTAGTTTAATTGGTTAACTACGGAGATTTTAAAATAAAAAATCCTACATATTGGTGCAGATTACTACACCATATGTAGATATGGACCATATTTACTCTCTATAACCCAAAACAAGTCATCATTCAATTTGGTAGTCTCTTCAACTTGACTTGGTCTTATAAACAAGTAATTTAATACAGTAATAAAATACGAAATGCAGGCAAGATTTCCGGAGCCCTAGAAGCTTGAATGTGGTATTTGAAGATAATAATTTAATTTAGGAAATTTGACTTTTGGTACCACTAAAACACCCTATTTTGATTTTTGGTACCTTTTTAAAATTTAAATTTATTTTATTACCTATCAAATTCTAAAATTATATTTTTTGGTACCACTTAACAATTTCTATTAGGGTTTTGTTAGTGGTCAGCTAACTAAAATATTTTTTTCTAGTTTTGCGTGTCAAAAAATGTTCAGTTAAAGTTTTGTGGGTCATTTAAGTTTTTAAGGGGCCAAATTGATCTCGAAATTGGCAAAAAAACAACGTAAGTGCCTCATTATCCGTGTCATAAATGTATCGATTTGCGTTTCAATTTTTTTGATGTAAAAATTGTTCGGGTAAGGTTTTAGGAGTCAATTTAGCCCTTAAGACTCCAAATTGGGCTTCGAATTGACAAAAAAAAAATGTAAGTGTCTCGTTTTGCATAAGTTAATACTGAAAATTATACCCTACATCCTAGTGTAGGATGGTCTACCTACACCCCCTGATGCTACGCCGTTTTGTAGCTTGCGGGGAGTACTCACGAGCTAATTCATGCTTCAATTCTTTCCTTTTTTTTATTTATTTTTTTAATTCCTTGTTTCTTATTATTCAAGCTATGTATATAAATGATTTTAAACCCAATATTTTCTCTCTCCTCAATTGATCAATTTCCATTTTTCTACCTACATTCTCTCTAGTTAATTCATCTTCTTCATTTGATTTTATACTAATTTTGCCGTTTATTTTTCCTACGATTTTGATAATTGTTGTTGATCATCAATGGCTGATTCTTCCTCTGCTAATTTCGATCGTGATTACGAAAGTGTGTTTCCGTCTTCTAGAGTTCGATTGATTGATTCGTTTGTTCATCAACAATGTGAGTAATTACAATCATAATTTTGTAATTTTTATCATCAATACATTGTTGTGTTATAATGCTCTGTTTATTTCAACTTAATTTATGTATTATTATTCTTTTCGTTGCTTCAATTTTCAAAATTTGATTATGATTATGATGAGCGTTTTTGGATTGTTCATACTTTGTTATGAATATTTCGCTGCTTCAATTTATTTCATTGCTCTATGTTTGAAAATTGCGTGATTTTGTTTTTATGCTTTTTTTTTTTTTGGATCATTTTTATATTTAAAATTAATCAATTATGTGTTATCATTTGTACTTCTTAATTTTTTTATGTCATATATGATTATTTGTTTTTACCATTTTTTCTTGATAATATTATGTGTCAAAATTTTCCATATTGATCATGTGCAATTTTGCTATTGAACATTGTATTTGTTAATTATTGTTCATTTTTGAAACATGTTATGTTCATTTATAATTGTACATTAAAACTTTGTGCAATGAGAAAAAAAACTGATATTTCATATCTTGCTAAGGTTTTGATCTTATCTGTTTATTTAAGTGTTTGAAATTGAACATTTATATATTTTAATATGATCATTTAACTTTTATTTGAAGGCGAAGGATTTAGTGTTTAAAGGATTTAATATGATCATTTTTTGAAACTTGTTATGTTCATTTATAATTGTATATTAAAACTTTGTGCAGTGGGAAAAAAAGCTGATATTTCATATCTTGCTAAAGTTTTGTTTTTCTTATCTGTTTATTTAAGTGTTTGTAATTGAACATTTATATATTTTAATATGATCATTTAATTTGTTTTGCAGTCGAAGGATTTAAATATTCCTATAAATAAAAGTGTTGCTGGTGTTTCTGCTGCTCAAGCTCAATGTAATGTTCCTATAAATAAAGGTGGTGCTGGTGTTAAAAATGATGCTCAAGTTAATCCAAGAGTACTAATGCGTCTACAAAATCTCAAACTAGATATTTTGTTCCACCCGTAGTTCTTGGCATTGTTCCAACTTCAACTCAGGATTGTTCAACCTTCAATCTAGAAATGTTTAAACCCCATTCCAGAAATGTTCAATCGACAAATGTTTAAGTTATTCCTCCCACGGTTCCAATAAATGATCAAGGTGCTCTTGTTCAAAGTTCTTCAAGTGTTAAAGACATAAGAATTTGTTTCTATATAGTACCTTTTTTAGTATATTGTTTTTTTTAAAATTCAACATATGTAAATGATTATTTATCAATTTGAAAATGAACAAAAGTAAAGAACCAACAACCAATTCATAAAACCTAAAAATTATATATATTTTTTCATACAAATAAAGATTAAAATGAAATATCAATTACAATAATTTTTTTAACAAATAATATCTATAAGTCTATTTTCCTCCAAAAAAAATCATCTATAAAACTATATACTTCCTCCGTTTTCTTTTACTTGCAACACACCTTTTAGGCACGCAATTTTAGGAGATGATTAGTGAGGGTAAACGAGCTATTTTATCAATATAATTTTTACACGGAGATTAGAATAGGGTTAAGTATCATTTGTAAAAATTATAATGAATAATTTATCCGTTTACATTATATAAACCCGACCTCAAAACACGTGCCACAAGGCTGTGTTGCAAGTAAAAAGAAATGGAGGAAGTTTAAGATATGATCATATACACATTCATTAATGAACATATACACTTTCATAAATGAACATATAACATGTACTATTCATTTGCAAACTTCCTTGCTTATCTTCGATTTAACCTATATTTAGTGTTTTTCTTCAAATAGCATCAGTTCCGCATCCTTGCTTCCTAATTTGGTTCACCTGTTGAACAAAATGAATTAACAAATGTTAATTATTATATACACTACTTTATAAATGAACAATATATCTTACATTATTAAACATTTATCACTTTTACACTATTTGGTTTCAAATCACAAATCTAACTCTCATTAAGTTTAGTAGTGAATGTTTCTATATGCTTCATAATTTATACTCCGCAGTTTGTATAATCAGCGTTGTTAAGCCATTTTATCTTCTCCAAAACAACTACGTATTCTTCAATTCCATGTGCAAATTTATATCAAATGTGTAACTTTGGACATCACTACAATATAGCTAGATTGGTTGTAAGATATTAGTTTTAATGCATACAAATGAACATTATCAATATTATACATGAGGATAATGTATAAAAGAAATGAACATTCGTTATTTAGGCATATAAATATATATGTAAACTGAAATGAACCAATATTAACATATATTTTAAAATGAACATTACTTTATATGTAAATGAACATTATGAATTTCATAAATGATCAAAAGATTTGATAGAATAAATAAGTCAGTTTCTCAACTCAAATGAATGATTATTTATGCATTTCATAAATGTGCATAACATATCATAAAAATGAACATTATTTATTTAGGCATATAAAGTCAAATATAAACTCAAATAAATTCAAATATACAAATGAACATTTATAATTCTATATATGTTCATATATTAACTCGGAATCGTAGAAATGTTAACATCTATACCATAAGACTTTTTAATATCTTTTAAAAGTTCTAGATCTACAACTTGAGACTTTTGTTCGTTGTTTTTTTTTTTAAAAAAAATTTCTACTCTTGTTTAAATAGGTTTTTGAAATAATACTTACGTTTCTTCAGACTATGCCTTGTTATGTTCAACGAACATGATTCTTCTCTGAATCATCATTCTCTTTATCTCTCTAATTCGAAATATATTTTTCGGTTCTGTAAAAAATAAAAATAAAAACACAAAACATAGTAGATTTTAATGATTTTTGCATAAAATAGTTCTAATCAAGTTAGATTATGTTTCTGAACATGTAATTTCAAAATGAAATACGTAGTAGAAAAAATAGGTTCATACAAAAAAATTTAGTAAAATTACTTACTCTTTCTGTGAATGTTGTTGCGATTGTTGAATTTCTTCGCAAATGTAGACATTTGAAGGAATTTAGCAATATTTTGAAGCAATTTCGTAGTATTTTGAAGCAATTTTGTAGTATTTTGAAGCAATTTTGGTTCATATTTTCTGGTTTTGATGAGAGAGAAAGTCTAGAGAAATGAAGAAGAAGGTTTTAGAGAGAATGGTGGGTAGTTACAGTAGGTTAGTGGGTTATGGGATGTGGGTAACATGATAAACGCATCGTTTAGAGGGGGGTGTAGGTATCCCTACCTACACTAGGGTCTAGTGTATACCAATTAAGTTAATACCATATGCATGATGTACTTAGGCCCAAAAAGCCCGCCACTTATGCATGAGTTATGATGTTAAGGCCCGATCCGACACGAATTTTTTTTAATCACCACTAATATTTATAGGCGGTTGGATCATAATAAATCAACCACTCTGATTTGTTCTTATACATAAGAGTGTTTTTATCTAAAGTAGGTGTTCTTACCAGAGCCTTTTCCTAAAGTATTATTAAAAAAAAAAATTAGGAAATCGTTCTTTATAAAAACCCTAAGCTCAGTTTTCAAAATACAATTGCTGTTTCTTACTCCTCCACCTTCTGTCTCTTACAAATTAGTCAAATAAATAATGAATGATGGGTGTGTAAAAAAGTGTTCGTTAAAGAGGAAGGTTTTATTACGAGTGTTGCACAGTGCAAAGAAAAACAAGTCAGTCTTAATTTGTTGTTCCTCCTGTAGGAAGTATGATTAATAGCAATTAAAATAACTAAACGATTTATCTGAAAATGTCGTGGCGTGACAATAGATCACTGCTCTAAAGTCGAATTTACCCCGCACATTACACGCGGACTCATAGCAACCGACCTTCAGGGATGTATGACTCTAACTCTCCGTTGTACTACGAAGAGTTAGATCGAGAACACTTTAATCAATGCCCAAAACAAGAGACTATAGTTTTGTGTAACATTTTTTGAGTCAAGAAGAGAAGTATATCTTTTTGTGTGTACTTGTGAAGTGGAGGATACTTCAATTTATAGTGGAGTAGTAACCCAAAGAAGGAAGCCATTCACGGCAATCATGCATGCCCAAGTCAAGGATATCAATTAAATCCCTTTAATTGAGTAATAAGCAATAAAGCATTATGCACTTAGCCTCAATTATGCACAGTTAGGCTTTGAACTAGGGTTGAGCAAAACTATCTGAAAATCCGAAAATCCGATGATCCGATTCGAAAATTATGGATATCCGATCCAAAAATTTCGGATATCAGATATCCAAATTTTTGATTTCGGATATCCGATATCCGAAAAAAAGTCGAATATCGGATATCGGATATCCGAAAAAAATACCCAAATCAGCAAACCTTAAATACCCCGAAGGCCCAAATACCTCCAATGGCCCAAATGCCCAAACCAACAAACCCTAAATCAAAACCCTTCACCGCCCTTCTCTCTTTCCTCTCAAATCTCTTTCTGTAATTTTCATCCTCACCGCCACAGCGCCACTTTCTCTCTTCTCTTTCATCATCCTCTTAGATCTCACTCATCTCAGCAAGGACTCCTCTCAAATCTCCACTCTATCTTCTCTTTCACCTTCTTCAAACAAATAATTGTGACTATATATTGAAATCAAGTATCTTCATCCTCATTTTAGGATATGCTCAAATAGTAACAAAAAAAAATCCGATCTTTGTCAAAATTTAACAAACCCAGAAAAGAAAACTAGTGGGAAAAAAAAATGCTAGAAATTGCTTCCTTCTTCAAACAAATAATTGTGACTATATATTGAAATCAAGTATCTTCATCCTCATTTTAGGATATGCTCAAATAGTAACAAAAAAAAAATCCGATCTTTGTCAAAATTTAACAAACCCAGAAAAGAAAACTAGTGGGAAAAAAAATGCTAGAAATTGCTTGTAACAAGTTTCCATCTTGGGTTGTTCTTTCTTTTGGTGCTTTGGGTTGTTTTCTGAGTTATGGACTTCTTTGGCTTGCTGTTTCTCAGGCTCTTTCCAATAATTTATTGTTTTGTAATTTGTGAAAACTATTTGTTGTATTTTTTAAATTTTTTATTTGTTTAATTTTTCTCATTTTTCTGGTTGTTCAGACTTTGAAGGTTACGATCTGTTGAAGGCTTCAAGTAGTTGTAAAGAAATTTATTTTTTTTGGTTTAGAACACTTGCAGTGAATTTTTTTTTTATAGAATTCATGTAGAATTAATTTAATTCACCTTTTAAATAAAAATACCATTTAATTATAATTAATATAATATAATATTATTAAATGAGTCGGATATTGGATATCCGAGCTATCCGATCCGAAATTTTCAGATATCCGGATATCCGATATCCGAAACTTTCGGATTGGATATCAGATATTAGATATCCTAATTTCCGGATACGAATATCCGATCCGAAAGTGGATTTCATTTCGGATCGGATATCCGATCCGTGCTCACCCCTACTTTGAACTGGGTAACAGAAAGAAATAATTATGGCAAAAAGTCAACTAATTGCAAATTTGGTTATTGATCTTTTGAAGCAAAAATGTAACTAGACTTGAAATTTTACTATGGGAAGAAATAACTCTAACAATAATTCCAACATACCCCTACATGATTCAAAAGAGCAAAAATAAGAATTTGGGCAAAGGATACTCGGTTTTGCAAGTATCAATGTCTTGTGGACTTGAATTAATATCCGGTACTTACAATTTCGTTCTACAGTCATAGTCATGTTGGGTGGAATTGGCCTTGAACCTTTCATGAGATTATTAGTATAAACACATTTGCGTACTAAACCTTTCTCAAAACAAATTAAAGGTGTTCTCGCGAAATTAAAAAAATGCCCCACATTTGCCTGGATTTTTCAAGAATGCTCTAGAGGCCCTAGCCTTTGGAACCTCATAGGTGGTTGGGCGTAGCCCCCACATTCACATAGGTAAGTTCATCAAGTTTGTACTGTCACAAACCACCTTCATTAAGGGTATGAACTTATTAAGAGTTCTTTTAACTCAACCTTGTACACATAACAGTAAAATGTACCACATCTCTTTATTAATAGGAATGGTCGTGGTACTATACTTGAGTTCTTTTGTGACTTCGTTTGATCCATTGAATTTAGACATTTTTAATATGGGTAGCAATCACAATTCACTCCTCAATAAGGCTAGGCTTTAAACCCATTCCCTGTGCTGGCTCACTCCAGCACCAAAGGCCTTTGTTTAGGGAATCTCTAATATTCCTCTTACATGCCTCAACACTGTATATATTTTATGACTACATCACGTGATCACATTTTATTTTATGATTAGTATTCATGCCTTAAACATGTTTACATTTTTATTCCATTGTAAGTTACCTCAATTGTAACTTATAACTCACCAACAAATGTAACAAATGGAGTTGGCTCCCCCCACAATGGATATCTACTAATAGATTTTGCAATAAGATTATTGTATAACGCTTTAAGCCAAAAGTTCTTAGTGGACTCATCATTATTGGTTACCATGTAAACATTTTAAACCTGCACGTTTAATCCTATTTTCATGGTATCATACAATGATCATTGGTGAGCCCTCTGTACAGTCTCCACCTGCGCTTAAGATTATAACACGATGACATAATATCTCGTTACATAAGAAACGTTAAGTTAGAAGCAGATGATACACAATCATAGTCAAACTAACAGATCATGAGAATAATCATGTAATGACTTCTCATAACATAACTTTGGTATTCAATTCAATTTATATTATAAAGTTGTTTACCTTGTATTATACTTTACAAGGATGCAAACATGGAGAAATTAAAGTTCCTTTACTTTCATCAATACATAACTAAGTTGTTGTATTATTTTGCAATTTAACATTTATTTGAACCATTATCAAAACCACAAAGGATAATAATGCAAACAAGATAAATGACCGCACAAACTTAGTAAATGATGAGAAATAATAATGATTGTCAATCACCAAAACTTTAGTGAATCTATCATATCGAGTTTCTTTCTCTTTACTTTCAATTGACTCATGAAAGTCAACATTACAACCAATAGCTTTATTATGTTTAGACAAAACTAACTTTCACAAATATGATAGGTCACAATAAGGACTTAGATTCATATAGTTTTCTCAAAAAAAAAAAAAAAAAAAAAAACTAGCATAAACAAAAGGATGGACATGGTTTCTCCACATAATTTAATTTAGGATACTTATCCATCACTTCTTGAAGACGCCCCATGACCTCTTCTAATCCTTTTACCTTTCTACTTAAGAAAAACAATTAGACTTAACTAGTTTGAACTCCGACTTTACTTCTCTCAAGTTGATGATCTGCTCACCAACTTCACAGAAGAAAAGTCATGAACCAAATTGAATAATTACATAAATCAGATTAAAATTATCATACTATTGTAATGATGAGAGAAAATCTCAATGTGGCTCATAGAATTCATAAATTTGAAGAATAACACAACTCAAGTCATTCTCAAGTTAAAATTATGTCAAACACAATGCATTAAATAGCAATGACATATTTTGAAACCAAGTTAGCATACTCAACCCAAATCCCACATTAGCTCTTTTAAATAGTATAAAGGTTTATATTAGAAAAATTAGTCTAAAAAAATTAACTACAAGCACACCAAGGAACATCTCGATCACCTTAATAGGCACTCCTACACAAGTATTTTAAGTTATCACAAAACCAATTTATTAATCAAGAGAGGCTTAGACAAATTCTCTTGAGACGAAGCATTAGCCAACATAGTGAATTGAAAAAACTTCTATCCCGCACGTATATTACATCAACAAAAGTTAAAGCACTCACGATTTAAAAGACCTTTCAAATAATAGGGTTATTCCTTCCTTTTATTCCATCATGTAAAGTTCTTCAACTTTTGTTGACTGTCCTAATTTGTTCAAATTTTGGACAAAATAACACTCTTATTATTGCTATATAAACAAGGAGAGGAAACGGTCTCACCTAGACCATGAAGGAAATCATGACTTAAACAAATTAACTCTCAACAAGTACGAGTATAATAAAACACATTTATAATTCTACTCTCCAAATTTAACATATAAACTAAGTCATCATGAATTAAC